ATGATCACTTGAAAGTGTTTGGGTGTAAAGCTTGTGTGCATGTTCCAAAAGATAAGAGGTCGAAATTAGATGTTAAAACTAAGCAATGTATCTTCATTGGTTATGGTCAAGATGAGTTTGGATATCACTTTTATGATCCAATTGATAAGAAACTCATTAGAAGTCGTGATGTTGTGTCCTTTAAGGATCAAACTATTGAAGATATTGACAAGACTGAGAAACTAGATTCTCATACTGATGAGAGAATAGTTGATGTTGATCCAATTACTATTATTGATACATCTTTTGCACATGAGGGAACCCAAGGTAATGATCAAGATAATGATGAGAGTGTAGAACATATATTTGTTTCTACTGATGATGTTGTGGTTGATAATGAACAAACTCATGTTGGGATGACCGCTTCGATGCTCCAGAAACCTCTTGTAAAAGATCTACTAGAGAGAAGTGAAGCTCAACACGTTATTCTCATGATGAGTATATTTTATTGACTAATATGGGAGAACCTAAAGGTTATGATGAAGTCATGTTAGATACTCAAAGAGATAAGTGGAAAGAACTCATCGTAGACAATCATGATAAGTGTGGCAGGCAGGAAGCTTGTCAAAAGTTCCTCCACTTGAAGTCCATTTGGCCCCTTGGCTGGAGGGGGAGTTTGTTGGGATATTGCCCATGTTCCAGCCAAAGGCCAATGTCCTATTCTTACTTGGAAAAGGATTGGAAATATCATCTTTATTTGGTTTCCAATTCTACTAGGAAAAGGATTGGAATAGTAATCCTATTTGTAGTTGGTTTTGGCTTGGTTAGTAAAAAAACAACTCTATAAATAGAGGATGGTTTTGGGAGGATAATTAATTGCTCATTAGTATTGTCTTTGAAAGGCATTAGAACATAAGATAGGTTTTTGAGAGAGCTTTCAACAAGAGAAAAAGAGAGAAAGAAAAGGGTTCTTTTGCTGCAGTCTTTTTCTCCGACCAGCAACGTTTAGATCATTTTTCCCGATTAACTAACCGTTGATCGGGATGAAATTTGGACTAAGTGTTCCTTACATCTTGGTGGTTAATTTGAATGGTGGATATCAGATTCGGATATCAGCAAGATCCTGTTATAGGTCCCGAACAGAAGCTGGGTTTGGGTGGTATTTCTTTCTATTTATCTTTTGTTGGTGTAGTTATTGTTTGTTCTCTTTTGGCACTTGTTGTGTAGTCATTAGAAGAATATTTGTAACCCTCTTATTGGTATAATGAAGCAATTCGGATCTTGTCTATCACGTGGTGTTTACCTTCGGTTTGAAGGGTTTTTCCACGTTAAACTTGGTGTTCTTTATTGTTAGGTTTTTGATTTCATCTTTTTGTCACAACACTTATACCTTACTGTCCACTAGTTATTATCGATTATGACTAACAAAATAATTCTATCCACAATTTATAAAATCAAGGCGGCAAAATCGGGATCTCATCCAGGTCGATTGGATGAAAATCGACAAGAATCAGTTACTGGGGAAGTGTCTTCTAGTATCGATCCAAATACGCAAAAATTTGTAGATGAAATCGGTGTTCGCAAAATCGAATCTAGACAGGAAGGAGAATTAGTGGGATCGCAGGAAGTTCTTCAAGAACAAGAAATTCGCGATAGTTATCATCAGGATAATTCATCAATTTGTTTACAAAATCGTAATTCTAACATGATTAGGGCACAAGAAATGTATCAACATCATCAACAAGCTTCAATTCCAAATTCAAGGAATTCTGGATTGAGAGAATCTGGGAAAACCATGCAGAATAGGTCAATGACTGGGAATTCCTCTGCAATAATCAATCAACAAGGAAAGAATCAAGGTAATCCTCCTATTAAATTCTTCTTATGATGGTAATTTGCATGAGATTGAGATTGGAACTGAGGATGCTGTTAGAAATCAGAATTATCAAACTAATTTTCCTAAGATTTCTACCAGCTTTGATCGACCTGCAAATAGGAATTTTGCTGACAAGAGGGATCCTACTTTAGTTAATACTGATACCTTACCTAAGAAAGATCAAATCCATGAGGCTGCCCCTTATACAGTGATCCAAACCTATGCTGATAGACTAAAGTTTAATAAGTCTAAGAAGGGAGTGAGTATTAAACTAACAGAGCCTGAGATCACTACCAAACAAGGCCTACCTACTGTATTATATGTGAAGGATGAAGTGGTGAAAGACTTGGCTTCAACATGTAAATTTACTCTGATTGGGATGTTTATCGACACAATGCCTAGAGTAGAATTGATAAGGAAAAACTTCATTCTTCAAACACAATTAGCAGGAAGGTTAAAATAGCACACTTCAATTCGAGGCATGTTTACATAGAATTAGATAATGAGTTGGATTATAATATGGTGTAGACAAAACAAAGAATGAATATAGCTTGCCATGTTATGAGGATACAAGCTTGGACTCCCACATTCAAGCCTGATGAAGAAACACCTCTTGTTCCCATTTGGATATCCTTAACAGAGTTGCCTTGGCATTGCTATAACAAAGAGTTTATTATTAGACTTCTTTCACCAATTGGTAGAGTGTTGTATCTAGACTCTGCATCTATTAATAAGACAAGAGGAAGTCAAGCTAGAGTCAAAGTTCAAGTAGACTTAACAAAGGAAAGATCATCTCACATTTGGATGGGTTATATTGGAGAATACATAACTAATGGTAGATGGCAAAAAATAGATTATGATAACATCCCAGATTACTGTTTCTATTGCAAACATCAAGGGCATAAAGAGGTTGACTGCATAATCAAACAAAGAGATGAAGAGAATAAAAGAAGAAAGGAGATGGAGAAAAATAGGACTGGGAAGGATAATACTAAAAATGTTACTGCTGAAAAACAGACTGGGAAGACTATGGATATTGGTAGAAGAGAGGTTGATCAAAATCAATAAAGGCAACAAACTCAGGAAAATCAACAACAAATGACACAAGATGAATGGCAAATTCAAAGAAGAAGACATGCTAATCAGCAAGTCAGATTTAATACTGCCAGAGCAGTAGTTCAACAACCTCAAATGCAGACAGGTATTGTATCTATTCCTACACAAAACACATATATTGACTTAGAAGTGCAGGAACTCAATACTTTGGGAGAAGAAGTGGAGAAGAAAACAGAACAAGTACAAGAGAAGAGGCCCCAGAATATTGCTAGATTGACAAAGCCATCACAAAGACAGACTCACATGGCAGGATTCAATGAACATGATGATCATAGTAATATTCAGCAAAGAATGGATATACAAAGGACTAGAAATGATCAGACTGGACAACATCAAAGGAATATCAGCCAATCACGTATTAACTCAATGCTCCCCCTCCCTAACCCCCCTCATATTGTTGATAAATATGCTGGTGTAGCTGTTGGAGGTGAGGCTGGAAGTGGTCAAGAGAAAGATACTATAAATAAGTCTAGAATGGACAAAGGGAAAGGTAAAATCGATGATCAGGGGGGTATGTGAGTAATATTAGTAAAGTACCCCCTGATAAAACTCATTCTGATAGTCATAAGTTAAGTAATACGAATAATCTCAGTTCTTCTAATGCTGGTAAGGATCTTAGTAGTCATCTAACCGATAATCTTGATGAGTATAAGGAACTTGACTCTGAGGATGAGTATGATGCTGATACTCAATCCTTAGGGGAAAGTAAGGAACCAGGTGAGGATACAGGAACCTCTTACCAAATTCAAATTGGCCCTTTGTCACACACCTCTAATGTGGATGATAGTAGAGAGGTCACTGGCAAGCAAGGACTTTCTCCAAGAGGTAGAAAACTGTTGAAAAATAATAAAAATACTAGTTTTAATAAACCTAACACTAGAGATAGGAGTAGAGGAGTATGACGACCAAAATGATTTGTTGGAATGCTAGGAGCATTAAGGTTTTTGGTGCTCATGAAAGACTGATCAATTTAAAGAAATTTCATAATTTATCCATGATTGCTGTTTTAGATCCTTTTGCTAATCCTTCTCTTTAAGAATCTAATAGAATGCAGCTGATGATGAATTATGTTCATAGAAATCCAAATAACAAAATTTGGTTATTTTTGTCAAATGAGGTGATTTGTTATATTTTGGAAAGTGACCAACAGCAGATTACTTGTGAAATCATTCATGAGGAGTGCCAGGAAAAGTTTCTTATTACCTATGTTTATGCTAAGTGTAAAGACTATTTGAGGAAGCCTCTTTGGGAAAGCATGTAAAAATGGTCTAACAGTGGTTATCCTTGGTGTACTATTGGTGATTTCAATGTGATATATGATAATCAGGAAAAGCTGGGGGGTAAAGCGTATAATATTAACAAAAGTTTGGAGTCTATTAGCATTATAGAGGCTTGTGGTTTGATGGATATGGGCTACAATGGTAAGAACTATTCCTGGTGTAATCACAAAAAGAATTGGGATAGAGTGTGGAAAAGATTGGATAAGGGTATGGTTAATGACAAATGGTTGGATAAGATGCCTCAAAGTAATATTACTCATCTTCCTTCACTTGGTTTTGATCATTGTCCTTTATTATTGGAGATGAGTAATAAGCAGGCCACTATTATTAAGTATTTCAGGTTTCTTCGTTATTGGACTGAGAATGAATCTTTCTTACCAACTCTAGAAAATTGTTGGAAGAAACAGGTCAAGGGAGATCCTATGTGGATTCTATATACAAAGTTTAAGATACTAAAAAAAACTATAAGGTGTTGGTCTAATAAGGAATATGGTGATGTTTTTGAAAAAATGAAACAGTATGAGGAGGCTGTTAAAAGTGCTGAAGAAGATATGATTATGGAGAATAGTATCGTTAATAGAGAGAAGTTAAGTGTTACCAATGCTAATTATATTAAGTACTTGAGATTAGAGCATGCTATACTTCAACAAAAATCTTAGTTACAATGGTTAAAAGAGGGTGGTGCAAATTTGAAGTATTTTCATGCTGTGATTAGAGGAAGAAGAAATAGGATGGTTATTCACAAAATTATGAATGACATTGGAGTATGGATTCAGGGTAAAGATAATGTCGCGAAGGAAGCTTGTGATTACTATCAAAACAACTTCACAGGAAAAAAGGAGAAGATTAATGAGGAGATGTTACAGTGTATTCCAGATTTGATAAGCTTAGAACATAATTCAGAGTTGGATAAAATGCCTGATGTTGAGGAGCTGAAAAATATTATCATGAGTATGAATCCAACCTCTGCTCCAGGTCCTGATGGAATTGGAGGAAAATTCTATCAAGTGTGTTTTGATATTATTCAAGGGGATCTTATGGCTGTAGTAAATGCTTTCTTTAATGGTAACATGCTGCCTAGATATATGACTAATGCTTGCCTAGTTTTGATTCCTAAAGTCAATCATCCCAACAAGCTTAAGGATTATAGACCTGTCAGCCTTAGTAATTTTACTAATAAAATCATCTCCAAAATTCTGAGCACTAGATTGGCTTCTATTCTTCCTAATATTGTCTCAGATAATCAGTCAGGATTTGTTAAAGGAAGAAGCATATCTGAGAATATCATGCTGGCTCAAAAGATCATTCATGGTATTAAACTACCTAAAGAAGGTAGGAATGCTGTCATTAAATTTTATATGGTCAAAGCCTATGACAGGGTTTCATGGGCATATACTTGTATAGTGTTAAGAAATATGGGGCTTAGTGAATCATTCATTAATAGAGCATGGAGAATTATGAGCAATAATTGGTATTCTATGGTGATTAATGGTAAAAGGTATGGATTTTTCATTCAACTAGGGGTCTTAAGCAAGGAGACCCCCTGTCACCAGCTCTTTTTATTATTGGTGCTGAAGTACTATCAAGGAACCTTAATCTTATATATACTAACCAGTTATATAGAGGATTCAATATGGAGAAGAAAGCACCTCAAATTAATCATCTGAGTTTTGCAGATGATATCATTATCTTTACTTCCACTGATAGAAGATCTTTACATCTCATTATGAAGGTGATTGAGGATTATGAAAGGGGGTCTGATCAGAAAGTGAATAAGGATAAAAGTTTTTTCATGGTTACTTCTAAGACTAGCCAAGAAATAATTGAGGATATCAAGCTGGTAACTGGTTTTAACAGGAAAAACCGCCCTATAAATTACTTGGGTTGTCCTATATACATTGGTGGACAAAGAATCATTTATTTTTCAGAAGTTGTGGACAAGGTGATTAAAAGAATTGCACGCTGGCAATCAAAAATCTTAAATTTTGGAGGTAAAACAACCCTAGTGAAGCATGTACTGCAAGCTATTCCAATTCATACACTAGCTTCTATGTCTCCTCTAAAGACTACTCAAAATTATATTAAAAAAGTGATGGCTGACTTTTTATGGGGAGTTGACAAGGATTGTAAAAAATATCATTGGGCTTCATGGGACACTTTGTCTTATCCAAGTAATGAGAGTGGAATCGGGATAAGATTGCTTGAAGATATTTGTAAAGCATTTCAGTATAAGCATTGGTGGGAATTTAAAACAAAGAAGTCTTTGTGGAGTCAATTTTTAAGGGCCAAGTATTGTCAAAGAGCTAATTCAGTAGCTAAGAAGTACAACACAGGTGATTCTATAGTATGGAGGTATCTAACAAGAAACAGAGATGATGTTGAAACTCATACTAGATGGAATATTAATTCTGGTGATTGTACATTTTGGTGGGATAACTAGTTAGGAGATGGTGCCATGGCTAATTATTGTGATAATATATCATGTTTGAATAATAAGGTTGTGGCTGATTTTTTGATTGATGGTAGTTGGAATGAATGGTTGGTAAGACAACATGTACAACCCCAGTTGGTACCCAATATTCTACAAACAAACTTTCATTATCAAGAAGGTATAGTAGACACTGCAATTTGGATGCCTGAGGAAAATGATAAATTTTCTATAGCCTCTGCATGGGAGATAATCAGGAAGTAAAAGAGCAAAGATCAAGTTAACAATATAGTTTGGAATAAACAAATACCTTTCAAAGTAGTCTTCTTTATTTGGAGAGCTTTGAGAGGTAAACTACCTACAAATGAAAGTCTGTTGAAATTTGGAAAAGTTGCAGAAGAGTGTTATTGCTGTTATAAAATAGGAAGAGATGACATTAGTCATATATTGATTACTGGAAATTTTGCTAAACATATCTGGAAGTATCATGCATCAAGAGTAGGTGTTATACAAGCCAATATAAACCTGAGAAGTCAACTAATGCAATGGAGTAATCTGCAGGAACATGATGAGGTACATAAATTACTAATTCATATATTACCTAACTATATTTGTTAGAATTTTTTGAAGAACAGGTGTGCAGTGAAATATGGAGGCAAAAATTCAAGTACACAAAAGGTGAAATATAGTATATTCAAAGATATAATGCAAGCTATTAAACTGGTATTTCCTAATATACCATGGCAATCGAGTTGGGATAACTTGATCAATATTATAGAGCAATGTAAACAGCAATATAATATTATTGTGGTCGGCTGGAATAAACTACACAAGGACATATATAAAATCAATACAGATGGGAGTGCATTGCAAGAATCAGGTAAGATTGGTGGTGGTGGAATATTGAGAGATCACCAAGGTAAATTAATTTATGCATTTTCTTTTCTATTTGGTTTTGCTACTAACAATATGGCAGAGTTAAGGGCAGCAGCATATGGGATAGACTGGTATTTACAACATGGATACAAAAGGGTTGAATTGGAAGTTGATTTAGAGATCTTATGTCAATGGATCAATAACATATTGAAGCCTCCTTGGAGATGTCATCAAGCTGTCCAGCAGATATTACAAATAAGAAGCAATATGGAATATTTTCATTGCAAACACAATTATAGAGAAGCTAACAATACTGCAGATTTACTAGCAAAATGGAGTGATACAAAGGACATTCCACAACATTTCTATACTACACAACAATTAATGGGAGCAATTAAAGGAAGTTATATTTTGGACAAGATAGGCATACAAAATTTAAGAAGAAGGAAGATCAAGAGTATCAAGTTTCCACCATAGCAATAATACAAAGTAGATTGAAAATTATTCTTTCAATTTTCGTGTAAACTGTTTCATTAACTAATTATTAGTTAGTTGATTTAGTTTAGTCTTGTTTACCTCATGTGTAAAGGGACAGTCTCCCTAATTTAAGCTTTCTTAGACAAGATGTATTAAGAGAGGAGTCCTCTCTAAATAATTCTTTCTTAGATGTGCATCTCATTGTAAAGGTGGAATAGACTAATCTTAGTAGATAAGTCTGTTCTTTACCTATCAATTAATAGAAGGTAAGGTTTATGTCTCCCTTCATGTAAATTTTGTTTTTATAAAGGTTAAGGCCTGGGGTGATGCTCAACCCCTGACCCACTACAAGGGTCGTTCAACTAAAAAAAATGGTATAACAATTGGAAAACCAATTCCTTCCCCAACAAAATATATAATAATAACAATTTTTAATTGTCTATCATAGAATAACTACATGAAAATTGAGTGGTATATATCTACATCTTCTACCTGATATATAAGCACGATGTTTGTCTTTCTCTGGGGTTTGTTTTCATAGGTAAGTTCCGCCTCCTTTTTCTTATCCATTCCCAATAAATAATTAGGTATTTAAAGTGACACATTCTACTAATTTAATTTAATTTTATTATATGAGTTAATCGGTAAAAGATATTTAATAAATTAGCCCATTAGCTATCACCATATTAATTATATTTAATAAATATTCATCAACTAAATATTCATAATTATCGAATATTTTAAAGTTTCCATTTAAACTTCACGGGAAAGTAAAGTAGTTCTAGTTCTCAAAACGACCTAGTGAGTCGTTACATCACCTACCACTAAAACAAACATTCGTTCTCGAACATTAAAAGAAATAAAATAATTAAACACTTAAAACTAATTTTAATATTTGATCTAAATGTCCAACTAACTTCCCCAAATAGCCCCTTCAACCCTTCCTTTGAACTTTTACGAAAATAACTTCTTTCGACCTCAACTTCTAGATATTCCCATTCATGTTAGTTACTAACTTCTCCTAAAAAAAAATTAAAACTTTAATCAAGTAACACTGAATAACATATGCACCATCCCAAATGAAACTTCGTTAGCATCGAAATATGAAATATATGATGAACACCTTATAAGTCATGTGTTAAAGCCAACTCATAAGCAACCTTACCTATACGATTAACAATATCAAGAGAACGAATATACCTCATGTTCAACGTGCCGTCTTTTAGGAATCTCGTCACACCATTGATGAGTGAAATATTCAATAAACCTCTCTCTAACCATGAAATCCAAATCATGAACCTTTCTATCTGCTTACCTTTTTTTTACTCTGAACCATAAGGAACTTAACTGAATTAACTTGACCTTATCCAAGGACTCTCTTGTTCTATATTGTACCCCATAACTAACATCATATAGTCCAACCCAATTAATTGAAAATCAAATCACCTACTATAAAAAACCTCAAATAATATCCTCTCCATGATCAAATGATAACGATCGTGGTATGTTAACTCCACTAAAAATAAAAACTTATCCCAATGACAATCAAAATTGATCACACATGTCCTAACAGATCTGGATAGTCCATTCAATTACACCATCAATCTAAATGTGGGAAGTTGTATAACGATTTATTTGAGTACCAACTCCTTCTGTATAGACCTCCAAACATGAGATGTCAATAATGTACCTCAAAGAAATAATAAAAAAATGGACATCTCATATAAGTGAACTATCTATAAAATGTAGATCTAGGCTAACTATCTAAACTACAAGTTAATTGAATTGATATGAAATATGCACACTTGGTCTATCGATATATAACAACAAACTTGCATAAAATACGTGGCAACCCTGCCACAAATTCATAGCAATATGTTTCCACTCCAACTCTAATATAAGCATCATTTTAGTCATACATTCATGCTTTGGGTGCTCATAATTTACTTGATAACAATTCACACACGAGATGCAAATTTAATCCCTTCATACGATACTATTTATAATATTGCTTCAAGTTAAAGTATACCTCAATAGCCTTTGGATGAATAAAATATTTAAACTATTGGCATCTTCCATGATTAATCTTGTTAGCTCACATATTAAAAGAACATAACAAAATCTCTTATCCTTAAAACTCACTCACCACCAAGAATTTCTTCCTTTACTTCTCCTTGTAACACCTTATCGTAAGTCGTATATAAATTTTCATCACCAAACTATCCAATACGAATGTTCTCCAATAAGCATTATCTCGCCTCCATTTAATAAAGGTAGACTATCCATACTAACTGTATTTTACCCTATGTTATCTACTATCACATTGGCTTTGTCCAAAAGATAAACAGTACACATTCGATAGTCCTTGAGAAAATTCCATATCCATTGTATTAAATTTATATTCCTCTTATTAAATATTATAATAAAAGCCCTCACAATACACATTATAAATATAATGCCACAACAATTTTAATGCAAGCACCATCACCACCACCAAGTTTAAGCTATAATCAAACAGTTTTTTTCATGAACTTTTAGTTATCTCGAAGAATAAGCTATCACTTACCTTCCTACATTAAAACTTAACCAAAAAATAAATAGAAAGAAACACCACCAAACATTGCTACTATTCAGAACCTAAAATAGTATCTTGCTAACCTCCAAATCTGATCTCCATCGTTCAAATCAACCAACAAAATCTCAAAAATACTCAGTTCATATTTTGGCCCGATCTAACGGTTAGTTAATTGAAAAATACGATCTGAAGTTTGCTGGTCGGAGAAAAAAAATGCAGCAAAACAAATCTTTTTCTTCTCTCTTCTCTCCTCTCTTGTTAAAAGCTCTCTAAAAAAACTCCCTTATGTCCTAAAGTCTTTCAAAAGAAATATTAATGAGTAATTGAGTTATTCCCTCAATACCATCCTCTATTTATAGAGTTGTGTTTTTCTTTACAAGTCAAAACCAACTAAAAAATAGGATTACAATTCCAATCCTTTTCCTAATAGAATTGGAAACCAAATAAAGAGAATAAATCCAGTCAATTTTCAAGTAGGATTAGACCATGAAACCCTTGGTTGAAACATGGGCAATATCCCAACATTAAGCTTTAGAAAACTCACCTCAGACACATCAAACCATTGAAAAGTTGATTAATTCTAGGTTAATCTAGTCAATGCATGTGTATTCAAAACGAGCACTATCGATACTAAGCAACTAGGCCTAAGAACTCCAAATATCATAGCTAAAATAGGTCAGTCCCAATTTGAAACTGCCTCAATTCTCTTGGGATCCCTCTTAATACATTTCTTGGTCACTACATATTTCAATCATGCCACCAAACTAATAGAAACCCACCCTTAAAAAAACATGAACAAAGCTTAATTTTCTTCAGAGTGTAGAGAGCCATCCTCAAATAATGTTCGTGATCCTTCCTACTATGGGAGTATACCAATATATCATAGATGAAAATAATAACAAAGGAATATCAATTTGATAGAAACACCCAATAAAAGTGTACTTGATCCAACAAAATTTCTTACTCAATATGTCTTGTTACCGTTCTTTCAAAATCACCAAACTATTCCAATAAAAAATAATAGTAATAGGCCAACTGTCTAACTATAAGTCAATAATAATTTTTATATCAAACTCACATGGAATGCCCTTAAGAAAAACTCTTGCACCATTGGAATGAGCTCTAAAGGAGACATCATCACTAGTATCACAACTTAAGACGAATAGGTGAAGCAACCCCTGTTCCTCACATTGAAACTTTAGAAACGATGATACCTTTCTTAAATGTATAATGATACTATACAGCCACTAAAATATTTAAAATATCAGACATATTTGAAGTTAGTATCATACACTTATATTCATAAATTTCATGGCAATGAGAAATTTAATCCATATCCAAATGATGTTTAAATCTTCCCTATATAAAAAAAACTATGATTTACCATGTGTCATAAATATTAATTCAATATAAGATCGATGTAATCGATCTACCACTACGAATCTTCTACCTCTTAAAATATGTGCAATAATAAAAGAACAACTTCAATACATATTCGTATCCAAATAAGGTATGTACGAAAGAAGTAGACTATACTCGAAGAAAAATTATAGTCAATTGAGAGCATATCGAAAGATATTTTTAAACATCTTGATTATCCCAATACAATTAGTTATTTATGAAGGTAGTATTTTCAATCACTTCTATATTGATCTATGATCTATTTAGCGATTCATAACTACTATGTATACATCTCTATAGGTGTCCTCATGCAACTTCTTACAACTAGACACTCCAAATTCCCTTAACTAAAAAAATATTTTCCCCCTCTTATTTTCACTTATCCTTAATCCAATATCTTGAAAGCTCCTTACAATATGTATTCATCACTATTTATACATAACCCTCCATTTAAATATCTTTACTGACCGATATTCACTTTAACCTTTTATAATATTTTAATATATTAGACATAATTAACGTTGTCACTTCTATTAAATAACCATTAGTATGTCCATAGTGTCATTCAACTAGAACTATTCAAATTATATTCACTATACCTCCACTCTAAAGGATAAAAAGAAAATATGTCATACAAATCTTACAATAAATCTTACACCCTCTAACATCATGAGAAGT